GCATTCAACTTTAAAAAAAAAAATTTTATTTATTTATTTGAGAGAGAGAGAGTATGCTTAGGAGTGTGTGAGCACAAGAGGGGGGGTGGAGGGGGCAGAGGGGAAGGAGCAGCAGAGGGAGAGGGAGAAGCAGGCTTCCCGCCGAGCAGGGAGCCAGACAAGGGGCTGGATCCCAGGACCCTGGATCATGACCTGAGCCGAAGGCAGATGCTTAACTGACTGAGCCACCCCGGTGTCTCTGCATTCAACTTTTAAGAGGAATAGGTAAATGACCAGAACCAAAACAAGAGCCACTCGCACCAGGAACCTAATTTTTATTTTATTTTATCATTTTAAAAATATTTTATTTTTATTTATTTATTTTTTAAAGATTGTATGTTTAAGTAATCTCTATACCCCGCATGGGGCTCAAACTCACAACCCCGAGATCAAGAGTCACATGCCCCACCGACTGAGCCAGCCAGGTGCCCCAGTAACATAATTTTTTTTTTTTTAAGATTTTATTTATTTGACAGAGAGAGAGCGAGAGAGGGAATACACGCAGGGAGAGTGGGAGAGAGAGAAGCAGGCTTCCCGCTGAGCAGGGAGCCCGATGCGGGGCTCAATCCCAGGACCCTGGGATCATGACCTGAGCTGAAGGCAGACGCTTAACGACTGAGCCACCCAGGCGCCCCCCTCCCGCCCCTGAAACCTGATTTTTAAATTTCACTTTCAAAGACTGTCCTGAAGCCAGTTTATAGCCAACACAATTTCCTAAGCAGTTTTTCCTACATTTGACAGCTCTGGACAATGATAATTGATACGGATATTGATGATTATTCGTTTGGTTGCAGGGAAGAGAAACCTACTCCAGTCACCTCCAAAAACCTGTGGTTGCTGGTGAGGATGCTTATGAAACAGAACTGAGCTTGGAGGGGTCAGGTTCTGAGGCAATTCTGGGGCCAGTCTTTTTTTTTTTTTTGAGTTTTGCTTTCCTAATAAGTGTCTGTTCGCTTAGTTCTTCTCTGTCAACCAGGTTCCTCCATCTCTCCTTTCAATGTTTCCTTCCCCTTCATAATTTTTGCTTGCAAATGGATTTGACTTACCCTAGGCCCATCATAATCCTGTAGCATTCCTGGTCCTGCTGCCGATTTTTCTCTTAGTCTCCTGAACGTTGAACAGAGAGGAAGGGACCCTGTTCTTTTTCAGGGCGAGGTTCTGACTACCTGGCCAGCCAGTGGATTATATGTTCTTGGGTCAGTTATCCCATCTCTGATCCAAACAGCTGTGGCCTGGGGTTGGAGTGGGGACATGGAAGGAGCTTGATTGCTTAGGCAACATGGCAGATTCTTTTGGAAGGGGGTGTGCGCAAGTCAGACAATGATTGGCATCTTTAATGAAAGGACCCTAAGGTGTGTTTCAGGATTCAGAATCATCGTCATCAACACACACATACACACACACAGAGTCATATTCTGTATACCATCGTTAACCAAGTAACATTGCCCATCAGTACATTTTAGAAGGAAATTTCCTTTTCTTTCAAAAAGATTTTTTTTTTAAGATTTTATTTATTTATTTGAGACAGAGAGAATGAGAGAGACAGAGAGCACATGAGAGGGGGAAGGGTCAGAGGGAGAAGCAGG